TCTCCCAGTATTCCATTTATGTCAAAAGAAATGTAAAACTAGCATGATTGGGTACCAGCCCCCTTGTGGTTAGTGGTGAGTGGCCTGTTTAAATACAGTTAATATTCAACTTAAGAATACATCCAGAAGTGTAAGGAATTATTTGGCTGAAAGAAGTTATTTTAAAAAAAACTAATACATAATATTGTCAACTGCCAGCCATATACAACTTTTTGTTTTAAACATATTTCCTCCTTTTACCAAGGAAGTAATCTGTAAGATTAAAACAACAACAAAAACTCTTATATTCAGAATCAGTTCAGCAAGATGTTGACCTGAATGCTGCACATCATAATATTTACTGAGAGTGGTCTGCTATGTGCCAAGCACTGTGCTCAGTAGCTGATAAGTATTATCTCAGAGTAATCTTCACAAGAATGCGATGTCATTTCTGTCCTGATCCCCACACTTTCAGATACGAAAACAGAGGCTTAGTAACTTTCAAAGGTGTGTATCAAATTTATAACATTATTTTGACTTTATAGAGAATCTTCTTTGGTGTAGGTTTTTGAATAAAGGCAAAATGGTTATTTCGAACATCGCATAATTTGGGTTAGGTCTGAGAGGCAGTGATCTAATAAATCTAGTATTTGTAATGGTGAGACACTTGGTCTACCAAGTCTAGTATTGAACTTTTTAAAATAAGGTCTACTTTTCCATAGATTATATATTCTGAAAAAGTAATATTACTATTTCTTAATGGAATGATATAATTTCACTCTAAAGGAATCCTAATAATAATAAAGTATTAGTGTGGAAAGGCCATTCTTTTTGAAAATAATGTTTACAAAAGTGATGCCACTTCTACTTGAAACTCAACATGCCCTAAACCTGCTGAGAAAACAGGTCCAGCTCTCAGATAACAGGTCCAGGGCAGAATCCTCAGTCACCTTGGCTTCATGTCTGTTTTCCCTATAACAGAACTGTAGCCTATTCATTCTTGTGTAAACTCCAATTTTTATTTACATGCATGGAAAATTACATATGCTTAATTAATGATTTCTGAGTAAATTTGGGAGGAAAAAATCATCCCACAAAAGCTTAAATCACATCGTTATCAAAAACAGGATTTTACATAAATATCAAAGCAGCAAAGTAAACATAAAGAATAGAAAATGCAGCTAAAATTCTTTATGAAAACAGATGATTCCATTAATAAGTAAAAGCATAATAGAGACCTAAAATGTAGTAGCTTTGGAAAGTTACAATTGCGTGGACAGTAGCAAAGCTGGGAGTGTTCTGAACGCATCAGTCAAAAACGTCAGTAAGCAGCAGTACAATGGCTGCCTCTGGGAGCGCCTAGCATTACTGGGGTAGGCTTTTCTGCTTCAAAACCATTCATTTACATTCTGAGAATAGAAAGCTGGTAAGAAATGATGTGGCAAGAAGGCACATGTGGCCTTGCTAACACAAGCACCTTATGTGAATTTTCCTCCACTGGGAATGTAAGCTTCACAGAGGCAGGAATGATTTTCCCTTCTTAAATCACCCTAATGACTAGAACAGTACCTGCACCATAGTGGATACTCACTAAGTGTTTGCAGAATGAATAAAATATTGTACTTAAGAAGCCATATTAGCTTTTATAAGAAGACAAAAATTCAAACCCTGTGTATTCTAGGAAAGAAAACTCACAAATAGATCAACAGCAAATTTCTTAGGGTTAGACATGTGTACACGATCACCTAAATTTAAAAATGTAAGTTCTGTATGACAAAACTAAATCCTGGGAAACATATAACACTGCTCTAACTGATCAGGTAGTATCATGAGACAATTGTTATAAACTCTCAAAAAGCAGAAAACACAACCATTGGAAATTGACAACATCAAGTACTTGGTAAAAAGGCTTCACTCTGAAGTTAATGTAATGCTAAAAGATACATTTAACAGTCACAAGGAAACTACTTCTTTTTGCCTTCTAAGCACTTTTCAAAAAATAGTAAATCTTCCTATTTAGCATGCTTATTTTAAATTATAAACCTAACATTTTATAACCTATAATAATCTTACATAGATGTTCTCTGGATGTATACTTTCCTTTAACGGTATAACTGTAATTAAATATACAATCAAATGTAAATGCTCATCCCAGCCTACGAATGTATTATCTGGAGAAAACTATGGTTTTAAAAATAGTTACTTAAAACATAAAATAAAATATTTCTAAATGTATCCCCATAAAATCTAATTTCGTTATCAAGATTAGGAAATACTTATAATACTGGGAAGTTTTATAGAAATTAGTATAACTATATTATGAGGCCGACTTAATCGGAAATGTAAGGGTGTACCTTACCCCAACTTAGGCCCACCTTAGGATAAAAGGTATTTCTGACATTATTATTGCCTTAAAGTAATGCCATCACTACTCAAAGTTAAATAAGGTGGCAATTTTTAAATCCAAAATCCTGGACCTAGGACATAACCATCTGCTTCCTCTTCTTTGGTGGTATTTTTGTATGTCACATTGAGTTCAAGTAAGCAACTCAAATGGAGAAATCTGAAGCACAGTTTCCTACATAGATAAGGTAAAGTCAAATATTTCTCATGTTTCTCAGCCTGGCTCAAGTTTAGTATCAAAACAGCCTACTCTAGGTATTCCTTAAAGTTAACACTACTCACCTTTTACTTTATTAATCTATGATTTCCTCCCATTTGGGGATAAAGATTAACCCAATACCCAGCTTTGGTCCTCCCTGGGATCCTAAAGAAGGAAGGTTATAAAATAAAAGAAAGTAAAGGACCTAAGGAAAATGAAGCACAGAGAAGTTGAGTGCCTAGAATTAGGTCATCTGACCTTCATTTCAGTGCATTTCTTTGACCTTTTTTTTTTTTTGGTTCAGGTTTACCCTCTTTGACTCTGTTAAAATAAACCTCACCAATCTACAGGCATCCTCCCGTGTTCTGATCTCTATGTATCCTGACTTCTTTCTATGCAACTGCATGAAATGGGTTTCCCAACCACCCTCCCCTGGATCATGTCGTGCCTTCTGCCACGCTCCTAGAAAACGCTGGTCTGCTGGGACAAGTGGGGATCTCCATTCCCTGTGCCTCTTCGTGAATTTATAACACATATTTCCAAGTTAAAAATGAATGCTATCTAGGCCCAAGTATTCTGTCCTATAGCCTAAACTTTAAAATACTCAGTAGCTTACATTTACCTTTATCTTACATTTATCATATACAATTTTGATTTCCTTGAATTTTGGAAGAAGAGAATATTCTGCCAAAGATTCAAGTTTAACTGGTTTAGTGAGCTCACACATTTCTTCACTGGCCACAGCCCAATTTGCCTTGCCTTAAAATGGAAATATAACAAACCTTCCCATTCAGGTAATGGAGGAAATACAAATAGAAACAAACAAATAAAAAATTAAAAGAAACAAACAAAACTGTAACAAACCACAAACAAATCTTTATGAAAATAAATGATTCCATTAATAAGTAAAAAAGTATAAGAGTTAAACAAATTATTTGTTTAAACATGAGTTATATGGACTTCACTTTAGGATTTTGCTAAACAAAACTGAAAAGAAGAAAAAAGCACTTTTCATCAGTATTTCTCATTAATTACATAACTGATTACTGATTTCAGAAATAATTGATTCTGGTGAAGGTGGATGTTGTACGTCTGCATAAGTATCTTTGCAGAAGCCACAGAACTTTTTACCCTTCTCTCACTTGGGACCCCAAATCTTTAGGGGAAGAAGTAGAGTTAATGCATGAACTGCATTTAAATATATTGAATTAATAGGTCTAGGGAAAGGACTGTATGATGGGAAACTTGAACTTTCATCAGTGAACCATGACCAGTGATATAAAGCTAGAAGTATTTGAGATATGTTGGTAAGAAAAGTGGTCAAGATCCACTCTTAGCTATAAAAGTATTTTTTTTTTTTTAAATATATCTTTATTGATTTTAGAGAGAGGAAGGGAGAGAGAGAAACATCAATGATAAGAGAGTCATTGATTGGCTGCCTCCTGCACGCCCCCAACTGGGGATTGAGCCCGCAACCCAGGCATGCACCCTGACCGGGATCGAAACGTGATCTTCTGGATCCTAGGTCGATGCTCAACTACTGAGCGACACCCGGACGGGCTATAAAAGTCTTAAAATCATGTGTAGATCTTTTGTAAGAATCCACTTATCTGTAGTTGTTAATAATAATAGTAGTAGTGGTTATAAAAGCATGCACTTACTATGTGCTAAAGGAATTAACGTAGTCTCTCATGACAATCTTATAATTATTATTTCACAGCTTGGACTCTCAAATCTCTAAGCCATACTAGCAAATCAAATTGTAGACAAGACCAACCAGATCTAGTCTGAATTGCATCTAGTAGTTTTGTTAATTAAACAATGGAAATGGGGGAAAGCATTAGAAGCCTTAAATTATCAGTGTTCTGCAATTCAGTAGCTGACACGTAATGGCACTTCAGCAGACTGCAGGGGCTCTCAGAGATCACTGAGTGTAGTCTACTTCACCCCATTTAAAAAAGAACAGAGCCCAGCGATGTTCAGAACTTTATCAAATCAGCTGGTTTATTAGAACCTGTCTCCCTTCACATTTCTATGCAGTGTTCTTCCTACTGCAATATATGCAATGATCAGCTTGGCCACAAGAATTTTTATATTTCCAAAACAACTTGAACACTGGAACTCTGGAACAACTGGAACTCTGTTGCAGAGAATATTTCTTGAAATAAGCTAAAATGCATCTTAGAAATCTTTCAGTTGCACATGATATTATTTTAAAATATTTCAACCAGGGCGATTTTTCAACTGAATTTATCGGTGATTATTTTAAAATTTTAATTTGAAAGTCATTTTTTAAAGCTTAGGCTTTATTAATAGCCAGGTAATTAGTATAATAATTAGCTACTTAAGCTAATCAAGTTATTTAATTATATTGCAGAATTACAAAATATTTAAAGAAATGGGAGGGAAGCAATCTTACCTTACTAAATTTTGCTGCATATTTTCGACCTTCATTAAAATTTGGACCCCAGTCTGAGAGCGAATGTAGGCTTTCAACCTGAAATAAAAACAACACATTGAAAAAGCAAAATTGATTTTTAATATATTTCAAAATAGTGTCTGTGGAAGACCATTTATGAGTAGCTAACAATACTTAAAATTTATCTATACAAGCATAGAAAAAGGGTTAAAGATATTTTCTAACCAAGGATCTGAATTTTTAAAGATTACCTTTGATCCCTCTGCATAAAGAACTTATATTGAAAAATAACTGTTTCAGTAAATTTATCTTGCTAATTTAATTTCTTTTAATGTATGCAATTTAGAGGCAGGTATTTTATTGCCAAATACATGTTTAATGATGACAACTGGATTATCAGTAATTAGAATGAAACTCTACTATTGTAACTGTCCCAAGATACTATTTGATATGTGGAATGGATCTGATTCACTCTGGGAACTACCTTTTATCAAAGCAGATGATGAGATTTAACTAGAACTGAATCAGACATTTTAGAATCCACCGAATATAAATTTTAAACACCAGGTCACTCTGGAACCAAACCAAGCATTCATATCCCAAGCAGGTACCACCTGGTGAAAAGAAAGTCAACTGGGTTCCTGCTCAGGAACACTAATAATTCATACTCTAATAATAGTTTCCTTTTTAAAGCACTGTCTACCATATGCTAGGTCTTGTACTAGGAACTTTATATATGCTGTTTTTTAAGTTTCATAACAATCCTATGCAGTAGTTTATTATCAATCTCATTTTAATAATGGAAAAAAATTAAGGCCCAAAAGTTAAGTAACTTACTCCTGACCACATAGCTAATAAGGAACAGAGCTAGCTATTCTAACCTAGATATTCATTACTGACTCTTTCCACTATGCTATGCTAATTATTTTTGTCCATGTTTATTTCTGGACAGGAGACAGAGTATATCTTAACTTAATGAAGACTTGGCTGAAATAGGATTTCTTGTCTGTAACAGTAACTTGGAAACTCCTCATTTTCAGTTTTGAGTTCAACTTGAAAGGCATTTTAGTATAAGGGTTAAGAGTGTAGGCACTGACTCCAGACTGCCTGGGTTTAAATCCCAGCTTCTCTGCTTATTAGCTGTATGAAGTCATTTAACCTCTTACAGCTCAGTTTCTCCTTCTGTGAAATGGGTATAATACCAGTAATCTACTTTAATGGGTTACTGTGAGGAGTAAATGAATTAAGCATTTATTATTATCTGCTTCAAAGAGTGTCTGGAACACAGTAAAGAGTAAATACAGACTACTGTTACTACTATCCCAAAGCAGCATCTCTGACTGACAAAACCTTGAGTAAAAACCAAGGAAATGGGAAAGTAAATGGCACTGACACATCGCATCCTAATTAAGTCATGACCTTCCATAATAAATATGCACATAACAAATACCTCAACATTTTATATCATTTCAAAGTGACAAGATTTTAAAAACATACCTTTGACGAATTACAGGATCAGACTTTTCTGGGTCAATATAAGGTCTTAGGATTTCATTAATAGTTTTATCATCTGGTACTCTTCACAACAAAGAAAAAACAACAACAAAACTTGTTATTTATAATTATCCCCTAAAGGTGTTAACTTAGAATTACTAAATTTTGTGGTGTTTTTGTTTAAGTAACTGAACATAGACCTTTTATTTTACTCTTGGCAAAATATAATAGCTTGTTAAGCAAAAACACTTAGAAAAACAGCTCAAAAAGAGTTCTTGGACACACTTAACAAAGTCTTAAAAACATTATTTTGAGAGGCTCCCTATCAATTAATTCTAAAAATATGAAGCCTCTTTCAACACACACCTGTGCTCAAAGATGAAAAGAAAGAAGTCAGGATGAAACACATTTGAAAGGTGCAGAAATAAAAAATCTGAAAAAAGGTTTCAGATGATGCTAATTTCAGTACATGTTCAAGTTTATTCATTCTAAGTCATAAGACCAGGTTAAAAATTTGATACTACTTTCCCTGGAAACAAAGCATTTTAGGTTTCCCAACTTTTCTGTATGTATGTACACTGTTTTAAACTATAAAGCTGTAGAAACAAAATTAAGACACTGTTTTGAACTAGTAGCTTTCCTCAACCATTTATATATATTCATATATATTATTGTGCTACATAGCCCTATCTGTAAAATTTAAGTCCTTTCGTTGTCTCCAGGCTGGTATGCACCTTCAAATGAGAGTGTTTCACTAAAGTCTATATGACAATGACAAGAGAGTATACTATGCATAATGTGGATATATGCTAAATATATTACTTAAAAAGCAGCTTTAAAATTTTCATAACCCAAGGAATCAAATAGTACACAACCAATTAAAACTTTTAAATGACACACACTTGAAAATGTTCATAATACGGTAAAAGGATTAAAAACTATTTATGCAAATTAATTCCAATTATGAGCATACATATGCATATGTCTAAAATAATTTATTTTCTGAGGGACATACATTACTAATAGTAGTAATCTCTGCATAGTAGAATTTTGGGTCATTTTTCTCTTTTTATATAACCACCCAGCTTAAGAAATAGACAGTTTTCAGCTCTTAATTCTCCCTGCACCTCTCTCCTCAATGCCCATTCCCCCCGCTGAAGTAAACGGCCTCAAGATTTCTGGGCTCATCATTTCCATTAAAGTTCTACCACCTCTGTAGGTATTTCCCAAAAGAACACATTTTATTTTTTCTCCCCTCATGTTTACAAACAGAGTCATACTCTATGCACTCTTCCTTAACTTGCTTTTCTCACTCAACATTATTTCTGACATTCATCCATGCTGTGTGTAGCTACATGTCATTCATTTTCAGTAGTGTTTAGCATTTCATTGTATCAATACACCACAACTTTGTCATCCATTCTACTACTAATATACAGTTATTGATATCACATTGAAACTAACAATTTATTTTAAATGCAGAGACATAATAAAAACAAGTAAGTTCTTAACAGAGAGTGTTGATACTATACCTTTTTTCTATGTACACAGCTTGACTCTGAGGAAACTGGAGCTTCACATGCCAACAAAACTGTTGTTTCCTAAGAGAGAAAATAATCATGTTAGGATCGAGGTAGAAAATAAAAGTCTGAACACAAATCAAATTTCCTAAATTTTTGATTTCAGATAATAATTCTAAAAGTATTAGATTTTAATGTATATTTTCTAGTAAGAGCTATTATCTCTTTTCTAGGATTTTAGAGGCCATGTTTTTCAAACAATATACTTGCAAGAGTTTTTAAGGAGAAAAAAATTAAGCGAAGCAGTTCTGAATTCCAAGGATCACATTCCTGAATTAGAAGGCAATTTCTCATCGTTTAGGGGCATTTGAAATCAGTGTGCTGCTACTTGAAGTTTACAAATAAATTTCCTCATGACCAAAAACAATGAGCTGATGTCTTTCCCTGACTAGTCTGGAAATTAGGTGAATGAAGTATTGTCTCGTTGAGACCAGCTGGCTGCAAATACACTTATGAGCCATGAGTATATGCATTCAGCAGCAAAACAGTAGGCAAGTTGGTTGCTAAGCAGAATGCACTCTAAACTAGAGTCCCTTTGCTTTCTAGTCTAAACTTTGATACAGGAACGATGACGGTAATAATTTATTAAATGTCTGATTTTAGAAAAATGACCGTATGTTCTATTTAACATTTCTAAATTTGGTGACACAAGACATCATTCATTTAAAAAAATATTTAATGCTCAAAACATTGAATCCATCACAGAAATGGAAAAATCTTCACTACATGATGGTTTTACACGTTTTTCCTTGCTTAGAAGAAATTTCTAACAACCCACTTGCAAGTCAATGGCCAGCAGCATGCCCAAGCAATAGCCAGCATCTCCTACGAATCTCTGCCTTAGAAACATGGCCCCCAAATCTAAAATAATTTTTAATACAATCTAGTAGAGTCTCTCCCACCAAAAATTTATATGATTTAGTAAAATTTTGTCAAAAGACAGTGACTATAAAATTAAGTAAAAATCCTTCTATTAGGGTAAGTTATCACGGATCTGTTTATGGAAGTATTTTTTAATAAGACAGATTTTGGCACTAGCTAGAAAAAATATGCTTGATTATGCTTATGTCGATAGTGCCACTCATCATATAAGAAACAATCATGTTTAATATTATTTTGATAGAACAAAGTTGTACAGTACCCTTAAAAATTTAAAGGCCAGATGTCTAAAATCTCAGAGGAAAAAAACTTTATCAAAAATTCTGAACACAAATACAGCAGTTACTGGTTTCAAATAAATAATTCTTCCTGAAGAAAATACCTTGCAACATTTGTTACCTGTGAAACTAGTATAGTACAATATCACCATCAAGAGGCTGGGAGATACCACATTTCTCTCTTCGAAAGAAACTGATTTTTAAATCTTAACAAATATGTTAAGAAAGAAATGTTTAGAAAGAAACCTTTTTGTTTTTCCATTTATAAGTTATGGAGGGGGATTATGAATTTGTCATCTTATAGAATTGTAAATCATAATCATCCCAATCACTGCTTGAGTAATTTCAAAACTATTTACCTTTCTTAACATTCTGTAGACCCTAAATACCTTCAGAAAATACTTAACATTCCAAAAACAAGACAGAAAAGCCCTTGGAAATAATTTTATTTGCTGTAGTTAACTACTTGTGGTTACAAGGAAGTCAGTCATTACTGTGTTATTATATATACATTGCTAAATTATCACTATTATAGAAAAATACTCAATGTACTCATACTCGAAATTAACCTATTTGCATACTGCCATATTTATTTGAGATTTTTTTCTTCTTCTAAGAAATAAAAGGTTATTGTCATGGTTGATGATCCTTTGTACTATTCCCTGATCCAATTCCTTCCTATCATCAGAGGTAACTCCTTATCTTGAGGCTGGGTGTGTATTCTTGTCACATAGGGTTTTATATTATATCTATATCTATCTATAAACAGTATAGTATTTTGTGTGACGTTAACATTTATTTCAATGTTATCATACTCTAAATATCCTATACTTTATTTTATTTACATTATGCTTTAGAGAGTTATGATACATATAGATTAGTTCATTAATTTTAACTGTTGTACAGTATTCCATTGTGTGATGAATCTCAAATCTATTCTCTACTTGTAGAAATTATGACTGCTTCCAATTTTTTACCATTTGTTCTTCCACATTAAATCACAGTAAAAAAATAAGTAAAAGAATATCCTCAGGGATGGGGCTATCACTTACCTCTTCTGGTACACAGAGCTAAAAGTTAACTTCATTGAAAAACTGCCTGTACATTTTTAGTCTATGGTAGTATAAGAGGCATTTAAGAACAGTAATTTAGAACCCAGTGTGTGGGAGGGGGTGTGTGTGTGGGGGGGGCACAACACAGTAACTCAGAGTAAAAGGTTTAAGTAAAGGAGTGGATAAAGAGAGGTTAAAGAGTGTTGTATAAAGAATTTCTAAAGTGAGCGAGTTAATTATCTCTAAACTAGTTTCCAATTCTTTGTTGTTCAGGAAATTGATGTAGTCCTGACATGGCCAATCAAATCTCTTCCTAGGTCTCAAAGAATTAAGTTAGCTTCTGATATTTCATAATTATATACTATAGTGATACATGTTCCACTTAAAAAATACACATAACCCAAACCCAAACCCAAATTGTAACGTCTTCAAAGAGAACATACTTTGTAAAAAAAAACAGAATTAAAGTTAATGTTTCAGTGAGTATCTTTAATTCATATGTAAAATTGTTCCTATATTTTGGATTATTTTCTAAAGATAGATTCCAAAAAGTAAAATCATTAGGATAAAGCAGGGTTTTCCAACCTCAGCAGTGCTGACATTTTGGACCGGATAATTCTTCATTATGGAGGCAGGCAGGAGACGCCGTTCTGTGCATTGCACGAGGTTTAGCAGCATCCCAGGTCTCTTACCCATGAGATGCCACGGTCTATACCCACTCCCCCAATTGTGACAAACAGAAATACTCCCAAATATTGCAAATGTCCTCTGGGAGGCAAAATTATCACTGTTTGAGAACCACTGAGATGGAAGTTTAAACATTTACTATTATTCTTAATGCATTAGGACTACTGTTCTCTAAATTCAGCAAAATGCCTACCACTATAATGACACTGTGCCCTTGCCATATTTATCAACATCCTCAAGAACAAAAATACTGGAGGGGAGGGGGTAAGGGGGTTGGATGAAGACGGTGAAGGGATTAAGAAAAAACCCAAAAACCCTCATAGACAGACAACAGTATGGTCATTACCAGAGGGAAATAAGGGTGAGAGAGGCAGGGAAGGGTAAAGGGGGGATAAATAGTGATGGAAAGAGACATGACTTGGGGTGGTGAGCACACAATACAGATGATGTGTGATAGAACTGTACACCTTAAACCTATATAATTTTATTAATCAATGTAATCGCAATAAATTTAAAAATATAATACTGTACCCAAAGGCACTATGTTTAGAGTTTGATAATAGGCTGGTGAAGTAATTGAGAAAATTATTAATGTTCCCTTCTGGACAACCTGACAAAATAACAGAAACATTGATCTCTGAGTCCCATGAAACTGAAGTAACCATTCATGCATAGCAAAGCTTTTTCTCTTCCTCCTCAAATATCAACACACCCACACCATACATTCTCGATGGGGTACTATCACCCCAAAGCGGGTGAAAACTGGTTTGTGGGAGGGTAAAAATAATCCTAGATATTATAATGGTTTGTGGCCCTTCAAAGTGCCGCTGCACATAAACAAATGTACAGTATATCTGTGGTAACAAAATATCGTGCAGGACAATTAGAAGGTAAATGTCTAAAAAGGCCCTTTGGGAGGTGACAGTGGAAAAACGGTTGGGAAACACTTAAGTGATATATGTATTAAATGAGGAAAATAAATATTATTTTACATGTACCTGGTTTTAGTGAGTTACCACAGGACACTATTTAACAACTCTTGCTTACTAGAAACTGTTAAGGTTCATTCTATTCCACAGTTTCAAGAAAGTGACACGTGGATGAAGACACAAATTTGGGGGGGAGTGCTATACTCACATACTCAATTATTCTTCTGACTTCATGACTTAAGATTACTAATTTTCCTCTGGAGTGCTACCATAATTCCAAGGAAGATGCAAATCGTAAGTCATCAGATACTTTTAAATGGCACGTGAAAATATAAGATTCTCAAGTTCATTTATAACCAAAGTACGTAACACAAATATAAATGAAATATTTTCACCTACCAGATTTACAAAGATGTTGTTAAAATCAGAAATGCCAGGAAAGTGTGCTAAAATGGACATGCTCTGTTATTGACAGGAATATTAACTGGTGCAAGTTTCTGGTGGTTCAATTTTATAAAAGCTATAAATAAAAATTTATAATGAAAAAAATATTTTTGCCTCAACAGTTTTATTCCTCAAATTTATCCCGAGGAAATAATTGGAGAAGTAATGACATACATACAAAATGTCTACTGTATCACTTCTTATAACAGAAAAAAATTAGAAATAACCTAAATGCGTATCATCAGAAAACTGGTTAAATAAATCATGATAGATCTACATAATGATGAGGCAAAATTATATGCACTAAGGCAGAAAAAGCTACGTGTATTATATCATGGCATTTATATCTAAAAATATATAATCAGACATGTATTTACAAATATAAAGATATGCCCCAAACTTTTAACTATGGGACTTAATAAAAGGAGTTAATTCTTACTTTATATGTTTATATTAAATAAATCTTTGACATAACAATTTGCTATTTTTTATAATCAGCAATGTCAAAGATGTTTTCATGGGGGAGTACAGAATGGTAGTCACAGAAAGGACAGGAATAATTTTAACATTCTTTTTAAACTTAAAACATTTTATTATTCAAAGTTTTAAGATGTTTCTTTTTTATCTGAGAAATTATTACCGGACCAGAACTAGTGCTACTTATCTAATCATTTTAACAACTTCAAAGCTATTCTCCTCAAAAAAATAAGCTATAACTAAGAGTTACATATGGAGGCTGAATTCTAAGAAGT